ATAGGCGGAGCTCAGGCAATAATGTTCAGCCCATATGTAGCCGTGGATAGGGTGAATGTTTTGATCATCACCAGTCGGTTGCGGGGGTGTCGCCAGCTGAAGCCATGGAAGCCATAAGCGCGGAAAGAGGCGATACCCAGTGACAATGCTGCAAAAACCCTAAAATTTTGGTAATTGCCGAAACTCAAGTGTAGATTGATCCCCTCGTAGTCATCCACGTGTAAATATTCCAGATCGATGTTTTCAAAGAGAATTCCAAAGGCGTTTTCTTCCCGGTCCTTGGTGATTTTCGATATGACGAGCAGACTGGCCTGGTCGATTATTTTGACGACTTGGATGACCAAATAATCAATGTTGTCATGCTCGCATGCTTTTCTGAACTCTCGAAATGATGTTTCGAAACGTGCTAAGTTCCCAGTTCGTAGATACGCAACGTAGCTTTTCATCAGTCGTTCTTCGTTTTGGTTCTCCATTTTTATTGTGATGTAGAATGATCACCAAACGGACCAGTGTGTTTGTATTTATACCCATTTTTCGAAAACTTTGTAAATATCACGGGCCTACCAATCGGGGGTGATTGGTGGACCTTTAGAGAAAATCCATTACTTGACTGACCAATCAAAATGTACATGAACAATATGCTAGTCTTTTAAAAAATGCCTTTATTTCATGCCAAATGTAAAATACCTTTATTAATTATTTTTTTTCGCTTCGTCAGTCTCGGGCGAGTCTTTTCGCCATAGGCACATATCCCTTAAAGGTATATGTAAATGGCGCCCACAGACAAACGGACACAGACGATGGGTTTTGCAAATTTGCGTTGATTCTTGCGCCTAAGCCGATTCTCTACCCCTTGCCAATTTTCGGCTCACCCCTTGCCTTTCAGCGCACTCTGGGCCTATTCGCACAGCTCACCCTTTGCCAATTTTCGGCTCACCCCTTGCTTTTCACAACGATACTATATCGTTGGTCACGTAGCACGAGGTAAACACGTCAACCGTTCGAGTGAGTGCGACAGAGTCCTTTTTGGACATACTTTGTACCAACAGACTAGACTCGAACGGCATTACCGTTCGAGTGAGTGCGACAGAGTCCTTTTTGGACATACTTTGTACCAACAGACTAGACTCGAACGGTAACTAATGGTATCCACCGTTCGAGTGAGTGCGACACCTAGTCTTTTCGCCCCTGCGCTGAAGCTAATTTTTACCGCACAGGTTCCACACATCAAGAAGAGCGTCCGAGAACGTGTCCAGCAGATCTGGGGTGTGTGCCGGTGTTGGGGTAACACGCAGCCGCTCCTGTCTCACAGGTACGGTGGGATAGTTGATGCTCTGCACGTATATGTTGTGTTTCTGCAGCAACGTGTCGGAAATGGCACGGCAAATCTTGGCGTCACCGACCAAGATGGGGACAATGTGGCCCGTGTTTTCCGCTATTGGGATCCCCAACTTGTGTAGCCGCGTCTTGAGCTCACGCACGTGCCGTCTCTGACTAGTGCGCTCCACCTGACTCGTTTTGAGGTGCTTGACACTCACACGCGCACCAGATGCAACGGCTGGAGGGAGTGACGTTGTAAAAATAAATCCGGATCCGTAGCTGCGCACCGTATCAACGAGTCCTGTGGATCCAGCGATATACCCTCCTATGACACCATACGCTTTGCCTAGCGTACCGGCGACAATATCAAATTTGTCCATCACGTGATTGCCCAATTGCTCACCTACACCGGCGCCTCTATCGCCATACATACCAACGGCATGAACCTCGTCAATGAACGTTAGTGCGCCGTATTTTCGAGCTATCGTGCAGATTTCGTCAACTGGTGCAATGACCCCAGACATTGAATATACTGACTCGAACACCACAATCTTTGGTCGCAAAGGGTCCAGCGCTGCCAGTTTCTGTTCCAAATCATTCGTGTCGTTGTGGTTGAAAACAACCTTGTCTGCGCGGCTATTCTGAATCCCAGCAATGAGGCTGGCGTGATTTTGTTTGTCGCTCAGAATGATGCAGTTAGGCAAAAGCTTGGCCAGCGTCTGCAGTGTAGTATCGTTGGCCACGTAGCACGAGGTAAACACCAGTGCCGCATCCTTACGGTGCAAGTCCGCAAGCTCCGCTTCAAGTTCGCGGTGAAAGCGGGTGTTGCCGCTGATATTGCGAGTACCACCGGACCCGGCGCCGTGGAGCGACAAGACCCGCCGCATCGTATCGATAACCAGTGGATGTCTCGACATGCCTAGATAATCGTTGGCACACCAAACAGTAATGTCGGCGTGTCCCCCACCACGAGCCTTTGGAAAGCGCTCGGCTAGACGGTTAATGTCGTTGAACACGCGGTACGAGTTGTCTGTTCTTTTCTGGCTGATTTTCTGCTCAAAAAAACCCTCGTAGTCAAAGGAGGTTGGTAGCACATCTGCACACAAAAGCCAGGGACCAACCGATTTCGGTGTTAACGACGAGGTTGCACGACCAATTCTGCGGAGTGACATGTTTTATTTATTTGTTTATTTAGGGTTTTAGATCGAAATCAAACGCCAGTCGGAAGGTTACACATTTTGCACATCCTCTGAACCAACAGACTAGTGATACCGTTCATTAGGTCCCAATTCGTACCGCTATTACAGACTCGAACGGTAGTACCAAGCCCCATAGTGAAGTACGTCACGTATCCTGTTCACTGTACATACGCTACGACTCAGTGATGTCGCAGAACGCAAGCAAAGGTGAGCTTGCTGTCGCGGTAGGGTCAATGGTAAGTGTCAGTGCCGGTGGTAGAACGCGAGCAAAGGTGAGCTTGCTGTCGTACGGTAGGGTCGATGGTAAGTGTCAGCGCCAGTGGCAGAACGCAAGCAAAGGTGAGCTTGCTGTCGCGAAATGTACGGTAGGGTCAATGGTAAGGTGTCAGTGCCGGTGGTAGAACGCGAGCAAAGGTGAGCTTGCTGTCGCGAAACACCGTGACTTATCCAAATACGAACTTTGAAAAAACAAAAAACGAAAGTGAGCTCAAGTCAGAAAACAGTGGTATAGCATTCCATTAGTCAGGACACATTTGTATCATGCATACCATAAGTAGGGACACACCCACACGTAGAAGTACACCATTTGTGTCATGCGAGGGTGATGTATTTGACGTGCACACTATAGGTGATGGTACAGTTTCTGGTACATTCTATAAGGCTACTGATGTGGCAAATCTCGTTGGAGTTACAGGGGCAAAGGTTGTGAAGGCTACCGTTGAAGATGAGATGTGTTTTCGATTCGGATCGGACGCGACTGATCCTGTCTACATTTCCTTAGACGGCCTCGTCCAATATATGTTTAATAGCCGCAAAGCCAGGAAGGGACCGTATGCAAAGTGGATGCTGGACATCCTACATCCGTTCATGCAACGCGACGACGTGGCAATTATCGAGCTAGCTAAAGAGTCTTTATCCAAGACCATCCCCTCTGAAGTGGCTGTTTGTTTTGAGATGGGTATCTACCTCATCCTCGTCGGGACCGTGGAGCAGTTGCAGGATAAGTGCACTGTACCCACTGAAGCAGACGACAACCACGTCGTGGTCAAGCTCGGTATGTCCAAAACAAGTATCATGCGTCGACTGACAGCACATGAAGGTAAGTTCCCCGGTGCGGAACGTCTGGCTGTTATATACATGCCCGCTGAACTGGCTTCCAAGGCCGAGAAGGCAGTCAAGGACTTTTTCCACGAGCTCCACGACGCGAAGCCGTTCATGTACGAGGGACAGACGGAAGTGTTTTCCCTTCCGCGCGAAAAGCTTCAGAGTATAGTGGGGCACTTTACCGACATTGCTAAGGAAGTTGGGAGCGTGAATGTGAAACACAATCTGTCTCACACCATCGAGACTCTCAAGCTGAACCTCGAGCACACATCGGATATTATGAAAACTCTGGAAGAAGACAAAGTGTCCTTGAAGGAAGAGACTACCGTGTTGAAGGACGAGAAGGCCCTCTTGAAGGAGGAGAACGCGCGTTTGTCACATCGCTTGAACTTGATCTCTGAACGTCGTGACGACGATCAATACAAGCACGCCGAAGAATTGAGAGAGATCAGAACCAAACTTGATCTCAAGCGAGATACGTCCAGAAAAGTATAGACTAGTCGAGGACATTACGATGAGCTAAAAAGCGAATCAATAGATTTAATCTTTCAGTACACTAAGTTAACAAAAATGAAAAGTGCACTAAAATTCAAGTATGCAAAAGGATTTTTATTAGAGTTAACTTAGCTCACACAACACAGGGTCATCCATGTCGAAATATTTTGTTTTAGGGTTTGGCGATTGGCACATCTTGTGGAACAACCAACCAGGCGTCCTATAGCGTGGCGATTGGTGAGTCAGAGTGCTACGGTCGAGAGACCCGCGCACATGTACATGCGCGTGGCTCTGAGCTGCCACACCACCTCGACGCACATTATCTTTTCAATCAACGGTCAATAATTGGTTGAGACTTGAAATCGGCATATGGAGATTCGACTCCACAAATCAGGGGCTGGAAATATTACGGAGGATGAACTTGCAAGACATGCTTGGCCAGTGGGTTTCTGATGAGGTGCACGTTGCAACTACGACAGTTAGGACAGGTGCGCTGAACTAGTCGGTTGACACATTTGGTACATAGGATAAATGTACAACACACAGTGGTCGTAACTTCCTCAGAGACCTCCGCGCACACACCACAGGTAAACAGCTGTATGAGGCTCGGTATGACTGCACCAATGCGTAAACGCCTCAGACTTGACGATTAGAGTTAAATGTAGAAACACTTTAATAAATAAATGAAAACGTTACACAAAAATGGATCGTGGCAACGAATTGCTCGCGTGTCTGGGGGGACCGAGCACGCCGAGTTGCTAAGAGTTGTCTGTTCTTTTCTGGCTGATTTTCTGCTCAAAAAAACCCTCGTAGTCAAAGGAGGTTGGTAGCACATCTGCACGCAAAAACGCGCCGTTCATCACCGGCCAGGGACCAACCGATTTCGGTGTTAACGACGAGGTTGCACGACCAATTCTGCGGAGTGACATGTTTTATTTATTTGTTTATTTAGGGTTTTAGATCGAAATCAAACGCCAGTCGGAAACACTGACGACAAATGATATAGACTGTGATAATTATGGTTGCTCAAGGGCCTCAACTCGCGCAACAAGGTCTGCAATTGTGACGTGAAGCTGATGATTC